AAATTATTGTTTTTTTTGGTAGAGACAAAGTCTCACTATATTGCCCCGTAGAGTGCCGTGGTGTCACACCGCCCACAGTAATCTCCAACTCCCGGGCACAGGCAATTCTCTTGCCTCAGCCTCCCGAGTAGCTGGGACTCTAGGAGCCTGCCACACCGACTACTTTTTTTTGTTGCAGTTTGGCCGGGGCCAGGTTTGTACCCACCACCCTCGGTATATGGGGCTGGTGCCCTACCCACTGAGCACAGGTACTGCTCAAAATCTTAAGCATTTTTATTAAGTAGATACCTCAGTAACAATGTACATAATTTTTTTGTTTTTTTGAGACAGTGTCTCACTTTGTTGCCTTTGGTAGAGTGCCGTGCCCTCATACCTTACAGCAACCTCCGACTCTTGGGCTCAAGCGATCTTCTTGCCTCAGCTTCCGGAGTAGCTGGGACTATAGGTGCCTACCACAACACCCAGCTATTTTTAGAGATGAGGTCTTTCTCAGGGTTAGGCTGATCTTGAACTCCTGAGCTCAGCCTCCCAAAGTGCTAGGATTACAGTTGTGAGCCACCATGATTGGCTACACTGTACATAATTAAAAACAAATTCTGAAAAGTCAGAGCACAGAGGGTATTTTAGGGCAGTGAAACTACCCTGTATGATTCCCTAATGGTAGATACATGTCATTAGGTATTTATTCAAGCCCATGGAATGTGCCACACCAGGAGCGAACCCTAACGTACAGTATGGACTATGGGAGACAATGATGTGTCAATGCTGGGTTGTTGATTTTAACAAATGTACTACTTTGGTGGGGCAGGCTATACTTGTGTGGGGTAAGGGGGAATCTGGGAATTCTCTATACTTCCTTATTCTATTTTGCTGTCAACCTAAAACTGCTCTAAAAAATGAAGTCTATTAGAAAGAATTCTGTAGTCAGAAAACTACTACTGTACAACCTACAACTTTCTATTTTCCTTGTAGGACAAATCCTTAGACTCCAAAGCTAGACAGTTTCAAGACTTACACATGAAAGCATCTTGCCCCTGAAAAATAACCTTCGCCAGTCTAAGATAATCTTGTTACTGAAGCTTTCAAAGAGAACTTGTCCACTGCAAAGACCTCAGAGAAGTCGCCTGGCACATCCCAGCCACATTCAAGCATCTAAAGACACTCACTCTGCAGAAGCATCAGGAAACCTTACCGCTTCCCCAGGCTTAACAGGTTCCCCACCATTCTCTGTAAGACCTTCTTCACGTTGACCACCCCATACAGTGCTGCAGTCACATGTTGGCCAATCAAGTATTCACATTCTTTCACTGTCAGCTGCTTGCCCTTTCCAAAAGCATCTATGTAGATGTAGTCAAAGATGTCCAGGGTTGCCCTATACAAAGAGCCAAATCTCTGATGAAAGTAGAGCAATTTCTATTTTAAATTTCCATAATACGTAGCTCAAATGAGAAGCTGAATGTTCAAACAGCAACATTTCTACTTATAATATCAAAGCCTTGTACAAAGTTTACACCCTGACCCTTTATGCAAACTCTGCTGTGTTAAGACAGTACTATCATAGTACCCTCATATTTAAGAAACAGCACTGACATGTGCCATCTAATAGAAATTTTTAGAAGTCATCTTGAAATTCACAGAAATCTTTCAAATTCTGCCAGGAATATCTGTTGGACTTTGGCTGAGAGAAAAATTTATGGAATGCCTGAGGCAAACTATTAATCTCATGGATTAACAACAGTTAACTGCCTGTGGATCCTGGGTGTTGAGGACCTACTAAAGATTATGGTACCTCACACTGGAAGGATTCAGCTCTTAGTTCTGCTGAGATGATAAGCCCATCATGGTCTCAGGCCAGGAACCCTATGCTAGAGCACAGAGAGCTGGGCCCCCGAACTCAAATCACATGGCTCCTCCCATGGGACCGCCTCCTGTGGACCACACTCACTGTGCTCTTGACAGGGTGGCCCACGCTGAGCAGAGTGGTGAGCAGAGGCCATGTGATGCCAGTTCACACCACACTGCCAAGTTCCTTCTCTGTGGGGCTCACAGAGAGATACAGGAACCTCTTTGTTTCAGGGATAGTTTCTTTCTTTTTTTTTTTTTTTTTGTAGAGACAGAGTCTCACTTTATTGCCTCTGATGGAGTGCCGTAGCATCACAGCTCACAGCAACCTCCAGCTCCTGGCCTTATGCGATTTTCATTTGTTTTTAAAGGAAATAAATGAAAAAAAAATTTAATGCCTAGCTATTAATAAAACTCTTAGCAAAATAGGAATTTGGGATGGTAGCTTTCATAAACCCAAGGAAAGGTATTGACTGCCCCACAATGCCATGCTTGATGGTAAAAACAAAAAAATTTCTTCTGAGACAAAGACTTGCAGTGTTACCCAAGCTGGCCTTGAACTTGTGGGTTCAAGAGATCCTTCTGCCTCAGCAGCCTGAGTAACTGGGACTATAAACACAAGCCATTGCGTCCAGCTTTGAAATTTTAAAAGCATTCCATTTAAAGTTACCAGGGTGTTGTTATTGTTTCTAATCAACTTAGTACTAAAGGAGCTGGCCTGTAGAGTAAGAAAAAGAAACAAACACAAGTGTCTATAAAGTTCTTGTGCAATTAAAATAATTAACTTTATGGATACCCTGTATATAAGTGTCAGAAAAAAATTAGAAACAAATTGTCACTATTCACAGACATTATGATTATCTACACAGAAAAGCCAAGAGTTGACAATTTATTAGCACTAATGATTTATTCTGTAAAGGCACCGAATAACCAATGTATATCAAAATATCAGCCACATTCCTCCACACCATCAATACTCACAAAATTAATTTTTAAAAAATTACTATTTACAAATAGCAATAAAGGTACTTGAGAATAAACTTAACAAGATGTTAGCCTGGTGAAAAAAAGGATAAAATCTGTTTAAGGATGATACAGATGACCTAAATAAATGGAGAGGTCGATGTTCACAGAAAGGCTCAACAGCAACACACTGGCCATGCCCACTATATTAATCTAGAGCTCTAATCCAAAGTAATCTCTGACTCCAATCAATACCCACAAAGGGTTTTTAAGGAACCTGATAAATTGATTGTAAATCTATACAGAAAAGCAAAAACTAAAAATAGCCACGGCCATTTTAGAGAGAGTCTCATCCTACCAGGTATGCGGGATAATGATGAAGTGACAGTATTTAAGACAATATGGTTTGGTGCAGTGACAGAGAAAAGAGATCAAAGGTAGAAAGGAGACAGGACAGGGAGGGTCCAAAGCCCAGTACCATCCATCCCTGCTTCTTCCCTACGGGCTGTGTCCTTTATGGATCTCAGTGCTTATTTCTGCCAAGGTGCCTGTGCCTGAGGGTATTAGCAATGCTTTATATTGTTTATTTGCATTATAGTAGATGTTCACTGTAGCCCCCAAAGAAAAAATGATACTGTTATTGCACACAGCCCTACCCTGTCCCGAGTTACTGTGGCAAATAACATGGAAACTGGTGTCTCAAATGCTTTACATATTATGCTGAAATCCTTGGATGATTACACAAGCATTTAAGAATATGAGAGATATTGGAGAGGTGGTTATTTGGTAAGACAAGACAAGCTGAAAAATCACTTTTCTCATTTAAAATAACAGAAAATGGGTATGGGTATCTACTATCCAAAATTAAACTATCCAATGCATTTTTAGAAACACGTACTTAGAAAACAAGAGAAACCTGCACAGTTATTTAAGAAAACACACGTATGTAATGAACTACAAAAAACTGTATGGAAATAACACTTCAAACTAACTTGTTGTTAGTTAGAGGAGAGGAAGGAGAAAGGGATAAGGAAGAATACCCAGAAGGATTTAACCATGTAATGTCTTATTTCTTAAACTAGGAGGAAGACACAGAGAACAACTGAACTTTTTTTTTTTTCACATGGCATTAGAAACTCTCCTAGGTGTATAACGCTCTGGATGGTCTCACTGAATTCTCTAAGTCATGTTAAGACAACATTAACTTCGTTTTACAGAGGAAGAAATTAAGATTCAGAGGAAGCCAGCACAGGTTTGAACCCAGTCTGACTTCGTATCATACTGCCCATCACTTCACCAGAAGGCATCAGAGTTAAGCATTAAGAAGTATTTTCAAAGAATAGGAGATAGGTAAATAACTTTTTCTTTTTCCCCTAAATGGAAGATATAATGAGAAGGTATTTCTACCTATTTGATTAACTATTTCTTTCAGAAAAGCTAGATTATAACTAGAAATAAGCTTCTGTCCTATAGAATATGAGTTTTAAAAAAGAGAACAAAACAGAAATCAACCCTACCTAAAGGAGAACCTGGCTACCCAGTTCACTCTCTCCCTTTTTTTGCCCTTCCTCACCCTCTCCTCCTGCACAGTTGTGTGGGAGAAGAGGGAGACTTCATGGGAGAAGGAAAGAATCTCTTTAAGAACTCTTTGATCTAATCTGCTTTGAAACAAAAGGACTTCGACAGCCACATTAAGACCTTGAAGTCCTAGTTCTACTTTTTTTAAATTAAACTTTTTCTTTTGAGATAATTATAGATTCACCATATGGTTACAAAAACACGTAAAGATCCAGGGTACCCTTCACCCAGTCTCCTCTGAAGGTAACATCTTTGTGTAAATATAGCCCAATAACACAACCAGAACACTGACTTGGTACAGTCAGGAAATAAACCAGTTCCTTCCGACCCTGGTCCTGTTTTTGACCTCTGATTGGTTGCACTTAACAATATCAAAAACCAGGATCCCTCTGGACACAGTGGGACTGAATACTCAGGACCAATTACAATGTGCCTTAGATGGCTTACCCTTCTGCGCCTTGGCACCACCTCAATAGGAAGTGACTTGGGAAGTTGACGGGTTCCAGTGGGACTCCCAACTGCCGGGCAATTGTCAAATACAGCAGAGACATGCTGATGGGGATTCCTGTTCTGCGGATCAAAACCTAAAGGAGAAAAAAATGCTGCCAGTTCACAATTCACCAAGATGACCGGCATGTTTTCATTCTTTCAATAAACATTCTCATTAGGGAGCTTTTGTGCATCAGGTATAATGCTTGTTTTTGAGGTTTACGTGGCTGATATTTTATTTATTTAGCTCAAGGGACAGCAAACTACTACCCATGGGCCAAAAGCAGTCCACCAACTATTTCTGCACAGCCTGGATAAGAAGAGATTTCACATTTTTTTTAATATTTGAGAAAACAGTCAAAAGAATACTATTTTGTGACATATGAAAATTACATGAAATTCAAATTTCAATGTCCATATATAAAGTTTTGTTGGAACACCGCCACGCACATTTGTTTTTGTATTGTCTGGGGCTCCTCTCACATTACAATGGTACAACTTGGTAGTTAAAGACAGAGACCATATGGTCTGCAAAGCTGGGATAATTTACCGCCTGGCCCTGTATAAAGTTTGCCAGCCCTTGATTTAGTCCCTCCTTTTTCTGGAAAGAATTTAAGACCATTTCAAGGAAAAGTGTGCAAGATGTAACAAAAAAAATGATAAGTAGCAGGTAAAGCAACAAAACAGATATGCAAATGGAGCCAAGCAGGAAACAAATAAAAAATAAACATCAGAGTTATGTAAACTTCATGTAGCTGGGCCGCAGGTTTGTTCCAACCTCCCAGAGGCCAATGTAAAGAAAAGGCCCTGATGAATTTCACAGTTCAGTGTTCACAAGACAAAAACTTGACCAAACTGAGCCACAGAGACACCTATTTCTAGTCAGAAATTTATCTCAAGGGTCTGCACACAAAGTACACTCCATGATGAAATAGATAAAATTCACAGCAAGATCTTTAAAGTGGAGGAAAATGAGTTTCACTAGGCATTCTGAGATAGAAAAGATATAGTACTTGCCTTCAAGAAATGTAACCACAGATGAGCTTAAAGTAGTATTTTACTCCAGCCATATTTACCTGGTGCATATATAAGTTTAGGGCATTATAGTAGTCCATTCGATTTCCCTTGAACTTCAGCTGGTCATAAAGGACATAGTTCATGGCATCTAGCACCTGGCTCTGAAGTTCTATTTCCATTATCATGGAAGATTCACCTGAAACACAGAGATCTACTCTGGGACACAAACACATATAAGGTTGTGACTGGCACCTAAAACAACCCATGACATGCAGGCAGAGGCAATGATCCTAAAATACTTATCAAGTGTTGTCTATCTAGGGAGGAGAGAGGATTTAAAGTGTTTTACACTGTCCAAGTAAACATGCAGTTCTGTTTTTTTCCTCACTTTTTCATGACATAATGAAAAAGTACACTAACAAATCTCCCAAATTAACCAACTCCTCTTTTTTAAAAATACAGTCGGATCCAAAGCAATGCCACACCTGCCTTGAAGGCCAAGCTGGGATGGCGACTGTTTATGCCCCGGAGAGTTTTGCAAACAAGCTCTACAATGCTGTCAATCTGGGCCTGGATGTCTCTGAGGCTGATGTCTGAGAGAGGATTGCAGTACTGGTCAATATACACGGCACCTGAAAATGAACAAGAATTGTGGAATAAATGCTTATTTTCACTCTGTTCTCATTAGTTTGTTATTTTACCCCATACAACCTGGGCCATGGCTATTTACATCATCCACTAGATAAGCTTCTTATCTCAGCTGGCAGGCCTTGCTGCTAACACACTAAGGAACAAGAAAGATTTTCAGAACAAAGGAGTTTACACTTTGCTTTTTTTTTTTTTTTAAAATAAATCAAATGTTTCTTAGAGGTCACAGACTCAAAACCTGCCCCCCCCCCAAAAAAAACAAACCTGGGTGATATACGGCGTATTTCCACATTCTATTACAAAAAGAAACAAAGGAGATATTTTCAAACTATTTCTCTATCTTCTCTGACTTTCTTAGTGGTTCAAAATCTAACAACTCTGAAAACTTAATGGTATAAGACAGTCCCTTTATTTACAAAAATGTGGAAAGCCCTCAGTGACAGACATGCCGTTTCAGCAAATTACACCTCTCCAGGGTGGATAGTAAATGGACTCTGGAGATAACCCTCCTTCCAAATGAGATAAACAGGGAAGCTGCAGCTGCAACGTCGTACAGACACTGCAGTCTCCAAAAATCACTATCACAGCCGCAGGGAAATTTCTAGCCACAGACTGAAGGGCTAACTTCATCATTTGGGTAGAGGACATTTTCACTTGAAAAGCCCTTGAGTTGGCCTCTTTGCCTGCTTGCCCTGGCAATGCAGGCGCGTTGTCTAAAGCGAATGCATCCTGCTTTGTTCCGCTTTCTTATTACTCTGTAAGGCTATCTTTCTCTTCCTCAATAAACTTTGTTTCATGTTTGCCTTAAAAAAAGAAAGCTTTCAATTTGTGTTAAATTTAAGAGCCCTCAGACCAGCTCAGGATCTTGACCCCCCTGCCAATGTCCCAAGGAGGTGAAAGTAGGTGACAGGGTGTCAGAAGACCTCAGTGCTGAGAGGCTGGCTCCTGAGCCTCCACCAGCCCTCCCTTCCCTACGGTAAACTACAGGGGTTCAGGCCATACTTCTTAGGTACCTTCTACCCTAACACTGTGGCTCCAGATTCCTTCAGCAGCATCCAGGTTATTCTAGTCAGTCATCAAGGATCAAAGCCCTGGGCCAACTTCCAGTTACTCAACTACTTAAAAACCTTCAATGGCTTCCCAATGCCACTGATTTGGATGGGTTATTTGAAAATTACAGCTTCAGAAAATGACATGAAGGCTATGTTACCCAGTTTGATGAAAATATTTCAGATTGTATACAGAACAGCACACTGTACCCCGTGACTGCATTAATGTATACAGCTATGATTTAAAAAAAAAAAAAGAAAGAAAAGAAAATTACAGTTTCATATTTGGAAAATGAAAAAAAGTATTTGTTTTCACATATAAGCTATAGAAAATAAAGTTCTTCATTCTATTCTCAACTGTGAAATAAACAGAAGATATGATGACATTCAACTCCAGTATTATGATTCTGGGGTAAGGATATTTTATTTTAATCAACTAAAACAGATTTTTCATTTTCTTTTTAGACTTTCCTATAATCAACTAACATCTGCACTAGGCATTGTGGGGCATATGGGCATCATAACACATGGACAAGGAGCATAACTAGTTGGAAAAAAGAAATGTATACATAGCAACTAGAAAGAATGCAAGGTAGTTTATTATTCAATTCTACTGTGGTAGCTCTGAGGCTAAGAAACTCTGTGAGAAGTCAGTTGAAACTCAAAAGAAATGAGGCTTCCGCTGGACTTTTGAGAGAGAATTATGAGAAAGAGAGATGCCACAGATGAGGGGTATCTGTAAAGTACCAGACCGGAGCAGATGGGACATTCCGGGGAGAAAGGAAAAAAGGTTTGGAGTGAAGGAGGAGGAAGAAATCATGAAGGGCATTGAAAAGCAAGCAGAGATTTAATTTAAAAAAGGATATCAGTTGTCCACATTGCAGGTTTCACATGAGTAGTGAGGAAGCTGAGTTTTGGACTGGATAGGCACTGATGCTTTGGCTTTCCAGGGCAGTACGGGTGATGTTCATGAAAGCAAGTATTACTTAGAAAGCTGGTGCTGGGAGAGATGGCCACAGCCCACAGGAGAACAGTGGGAGAATGAGGACAACATGACAATAAGATTCATTAGAAAGGAAAAAAAAAAATCAATGAGTCTGGTAAATCAGCGCAACTAAGGAATGAAAGTAGATGATCAATCCTGTCTGTATTTCAGAACCACAATTTATGGGCGTGTCTGTATAATATTGTAGAAATTAAAAATAGTTTAAAAAAATGAAGTCATACGTTGTTCCTGTTCAACTTAGTAAGAACAGAATGTAATTTCTTTCATCTTGCCTGTCCACTTGACTTCTTTTTCCTCACTTCTTATTATGGACAAACAGACTCACTGATGCACAAGAACATTCTGTCCTCAATAAACTCCAACCCTAGAGGTTAAGAGATATGCTTAAGGTCACTTGGAGACAAAACAGATTTTGTTTATTTTGGATTTGGAAATGATGCTTTAAAGCTTAGAAAAATAGGGAATTGAGGGAATTGATCTCATTAGCTAATGTATCAATCTCATACTTTGAACATGATGCAACTTTAAGAAACACTATCTCTTTAGCTGACTTTGATAATATCTTAGCTCTACATTTAATACTTTTGTCACCTCACTGCAGAAGACTGTGCACCATGGTTTACTATTCTATTCCTTTACTAGCAAGGACAATTCCCACAACTGCGCAGTCATGTACTGAAATACCATTGCCCGCATGTCTGAGAAAAGACCTACCTTCAAGGTATGATTCATAGTCATCGGGCTGCTGAAGAAAAGCCTTGAGATTATTCAAAATTTTCTGTTGCCGTAGGTAGTAAAGAATTTTTTTGGCATAGTATTTCCAAGTCAAAGCTTTTCTAGAAACAAATCAGTAAGAATTAAGATTTGAAAACCTTCATTATTATTTTTTTTTTATGCTTTACACTAAACTTACTATGCAGTCTTCTTAATAAGAAAAGTAAAATTAGCCCACACTCTTATCATACTTATTGTCATGGAAGCAGACAGCACAGTTTAGGACTTTTTGTAATACAACACTAAATTAGTAACAGTTATGTTTGGCTTCAGATTTATTTGCCTATATCTTTGGTCAAAGCAAAATCAAAGATCAGCCTATAAAATGAGTTAAGCTTGAGGGGACAGGTGGCACCTGGAACCCTCTGCTGTGCTCTCAGCCTTGGGGTACTCAGGTTCTGTGCCCATTGCCATGGTGAGCTCTTCAGGTCAATGGTTTCACTTATCATCAGCACTGACAACCCCCACTTTGTTACAGAACAGAGTTCTCCCTTGACCTCCAGACCAGTGTATATAAACACTTTTACCCGTCTACTCCACATTCCCACTTAGACTGCTTTGAGCACCTTAAACCATGCTCTCCTAGTCACCCTCATCTCAGATAAAGGCAACACCATCATTCCAGTTGCCTGGAAGCCAAAATCCTCCAAGTCATACTGGATGCCTTGCTTTCCTTCCTAAGCCACATTTAACCCCTCAGCCAATGCTATCAGTTTTAGCTTCAAAGTATATTAGAAATGTGAACCCTTCTCCCTAACTCACCCAAGTTGCCATCATCTTTTATTATAGCTATATCCTCCTGAGTTTCCTGCTTCAAACATCACCCTAGCTGGGCATAGTGGCTCATGCCTGGGGAGGTTGAGGTGAGATCACTTGAGCTCAGGAGTTTGAGACCAACTTGAGCAACACAGTAAGACCCAATCTCTACTAAAAATAGAAACACTAGCAGAGCATTGTGGTGGGTGCCTACAGTCCCTCCTATTTGGAAGGCTGAGGCAGGAGGATTGACTAAACCAGGAAATTTGAGGTTACTGTGACCTAAGGCACCAGAGCACTCTAGCCTGGGACAAGAGAGCTAGATTCTGTTTCAGAACAAAAGCAAACAAACAAAAATCTTGCCTTTTACAGTCTCCCCTCCATTTGGCAGTGTACTCCAGTTTAATTGGTCAGATGCATCACCACAATCTCCGACCTCAAATTCTCCAGTGGTTTCCCACTTTGCTTGAAGTATAGGCCCAAGTCCTAATGAGAAACTAAAAGGTCTCTTAAACTATTTCCCCATTAGTGCTCTGACCTCAATTCCTACCATTCCCCCTCACTCCAGCCACTGAGCCATACTTACATCCCTGGCGTTCCTTTACCATGGCTGGCTGGTGCTCAGCACTCTCTGTTCCTTCTGACTAGAACATTTTCTCCCTGGAGATCTTCAGTCTGTTCTCTTACCTCTTTCTAGGTTCTGATTCAATTGTCCCTTTGAGTAACTAACACTTTCCCATAATGCTTCTCATTTGCTAATATAATAAATAATTTTCTTATTTTTTAGTGCTCATCTCCCTGACTAAAGTATAAGCTCCACGAAGGCAAGGATTTTCTCATGTGTTGTTTACTGGTGTATCCCCAGTGCCTAGAATAGTCTCTGGCACACACCAGATGCTCAATAAAACTTACTGAGTGAATACAATTTTTTGCCAGATCTTTCAAGTATACACAAGGATCTTTCAAGTATACGCAGGAGAGAGACAGTGATTAAACTTCATGAAGAAACAAAGAACTCGCCACTCTGGAGGGAGGTAAATGAAAATCAGCAGAGCTCTATCTATGTTAGTCTTTGAGTTGTAAAGTACAGCAATCTAGAAAATCATGTCAAACAAATGAGTAGCTGAATGAATCATTATAAGGTGAATGAATCGTGATAATTCATTCACTCTTGGTTCTACCACTTGTGCCAGGAAACAACTTTGCAGACAATCCAACAGGCCTCCTTCTCCCTCTTCAACCAACAATATTTATAGTGGAGGCCAGGTGTGGTGGCTCATGCCTGTGACCACAGCACTTCGGGAGGCTGAGAGGGGAGGACCATTGGAGGCCAGGAGTTCACTGCTAGCCTCAGCAATATAGCGAGACCCTGTCTCTACAAAATAAACAATCACAATCCATACCTCTATGGTCATCACTTCCTTTTCTCTACGGTACACATTCTTACCATCAAAAGTGCATCCCTAAACACTCTAGTTTGTTTTTAAGTCTTTTAAATCTCTTCATCTACAGGCTATCCTTCCATTTTTTTTTCCTCCTTATATTTTATTTGTTGAAGAAGTCAGGTTGTTTGACCTGTAAGTTCCCCATAGTCTGGAATTTTCTGACTGAATCCATCTGATGCAATTTAACAGGGTCTTCTGTCTTATGAATCTCCTATAAATTGGATATAGACCCTCGATCAGATTCAGATTCCCTTTATTTGGCGAGACGATTTTATAGGAGGTAGTACATTCTTCCATTAGGAAGCAATAATTTCTTGTTGTTTCTTTTGAGATGTTAGTGGCAATTGATCTGTTACTTTTTTTTTTTTTCGAGACAGAGCCTCAAACTGTCCCCCTGGGTAGAGTGCCATGGCATCACAGCAACCTCTGACTCCTGGGCTCAAGCGAGTCTCCTGCCTCAGCCTCCCAAGTC